TTATTCCAGTTTCTCCCTCAAACCTTATATATTCTGTATGGACATCCGAGAGTAAAATTATTCTTTTTAAAAAGTTTTAATTAGGGCTGGATTGTGGAGCAGGATAAGTCTCGATAAAATTTTTTTTGATTTTATCTGTTTTCTAATCCACATTCCACAAGTTGTATTTCCAAAGGTAGTGTACTGTATACATGCAGGGTATATTTTAGTCAAATTATGAAAGTGTTTAGATTTTAGAAAGAAAATAGGAAACGTAAATTAAAGGATTGTTAGGCAAGGAAAGTTATTTCAGAAGTGTACACATCTTTTGTACTGCAGTGTACTGTCTCTGGGCGGTAATGTAAACACAAGACGGATGTCGAAGCCTGAAATGGGATCCATCTTTCACATAAAAAAAAATCGATGAAATATTCTGGTCATATGAAACTAATATGTGAATTATCAAAATTTTCAACATTTAATGCTTTTAACCTCCTCGAATACTAAACGAACACTGATGCATCTATTTTTGTTTACAAATTCCGCCCAAAGAGAAGTGTTTTCAATATGTACGCAGAGTATACACGACCGCAATAAACTTTCCTTGCCTTACATTCTTGCTTAAATTAATGTTTTTTAAAAAGTTATTGAATTTTAGCTAAGTTGGATGCTTTATTTTAGTTAAACCTCAGAAAGCGTGGCAGTAAATTAGTTTTTATTCTCCAAAACCCAGTTTCATAAACCTTTATTTTTTTAAGTTTCAGTCTCTGTATATTATTCAGGCAGTATGAAGTGATTGAAAACAATGTCCAGAATTAATATTGTAATCAGCTGTTTCAGGTTTACAATCTTAATATACTCTCTTAAACTGAGAACTAGTTTAAAATTGGGAACGACAAAACAGATTGATATCTAAACTATTTTTCTATTCATCTTTATTCCTCTTAGCAACACCCGCCCGGAAATTATGGTAAAATTATTTCGGTGAATACTCAACGTTTCTCCACAACCTTTAATTATTTTACATTTTAACAGTGCTTGAAATTTTACTTTTCACATCTTACGGTAAACTAGAGGTCCCACGGTAAACTAGAGGTCCCACGGTAAACTAGAGGTTCCAAGGTAAACTAGAGGTCCCACGGTAAACTAGAGGTCTCACGTTAAACTAATGGTTCCACAGTAAACTAAAGGTCTCACGTCACGGTAAACTAAAGGTCCCACGGTAAACTAGAGGTCTCACGTTAAACTAATGGTTCCACGGTAAACTAAAGGTCTCACGTCAAACTAAAGGTCCCATGGTAAACTAGAGGTCCCACGGTAAACTAAAGGTCCCACGGTAAACTAGAGGTCCCACTGTAAACTAAAGGTCCCACGGTAAACTAGAGGTCCCAAGGTAAACTAGAGGTCACACGGTAAACTAGAGGTCCCACGGTAAACTTTAGGTCCCACGGTAAACTAGAGATCCCACGGTAAAGTAAAGGTCCCAAGGTAAACTATAAGTCACACGGTAAACTAGAGGTACCACGGTAAACTAGAGGTCCAACGGTAAACTAGAGGTCCCACAGTAAACTAAAGGTCCCACGGTAAACTAAAGGTCCCACGGTAAACTAAAGAACCCACGGTAAACTAAAGGTCTCACGTTAAACTAAAGGTCCCACGGTAAACTAAAGATTGCACGGTAAACTAAAGGTCTCACGTTAAAATAAAGGTCCCACGGTAAACTAAAGATCCCACGGTAAACTAAAGGTCTTACGTTAAACTAAAGGTCCCACGGTAAACTAAAGATCCCACGGTAAACTAAAGGTCTCACGTTAAACTAAAGGTCCCAAGGTAAACTAGAGGTCCCACGGTAAACTAGAGGTCCCACGGTAATCTAAAGGTCCCACGGTAAACTTTGGGTCCCACAGTAAATTAAAAGTCCCACGGTAAACTAGAGGTCCCACGGTAAACTAAAGGTCCTGGTAAAAACTCCATTCTAATTCTTGAACCCATCTTTACTCATTTAAAGCAGTAGATACTTCGTATTTGTTATTTTTCACGTTTTTGTTGGGCTAGATATTTCAAATATTAAAGTATACCTGATCTCTTACGTTATTTTTGTTGGACTAGATATTTTAAATATTAAAGTATACCTGATCTCTTACGTTATTTTGACAGATTTTGAATAAAAGATAAAAATATGAACACTCTATATATCATATTCTTTTTTTCTTTCTAACCCTCTGCCCTCTCTTTCTTTGCTTTAGTTTCTCTCTTATTATCTTTTCTTTCTATTTCTAGAATTGTATAATTAATTTTTCTTTCTTTTTTGTTCGTTCTTTATCTCATTATCGGATATTTCACTTTTCACTCACTTCTTTTATTCTCTTCTTTCTCCTTTTATCTGTATTCTTTCTTTCATTTTCTTTTTCTTTACTTTCTCCTTCTTTTCCCTGCTCTTTTCTTCTTTCTTTTTCCTCCTATCTTTAATTCCACCTTTTTTTCTTCTTTTTTCTCTAATCTGTATTCTTTCTTCTTTGTTTTATTTTCACTTTCTCATTCTTTCTCCACCTTTCTTCTCTTTCTTCTCTTCTTCTCTTTCTTCTCTTTCTTCTCTTTCTTTTCTTTCTTCTTTTTCTTCTTTTTCTTTCTTCTCTTTTTATTCTCTTTCTTCTCTTTCTTCTTTTCTTCTTTTTCTTTCTTCTCTTTTTATTCTCTTTCTTCTCTTTCTTCTTTTTCTCTTTCTTCTCTTTCTTCTCTTTCTTCTTTTTCTTCTTTTTCTTCTCTTTCTTCTTTTCCTTCTTTTTCTTCTCTTTCTTCTCTTTCCATTTTCCTCCTTGTATCTTCTTTCTCTTTTAACACTTTCTCTATCTTTTTTGACTCTACTTTTTCCTTTCTCTCTCTCTTCTTTCTACTAGTTGTGATTTCCCATCTACTATCCATGCGTTTATAATATTACGTCATCCTTTCTCTTATTTCTTTCTCTGTTATCCTTTGTACTCCCCTCTCCTGGAACAAGAACGCTGCAGGACATGGTCCAAAGAATCTATAATAATAAAATATAATTATTGCATTCTTTGTTCTTCCGCTTAAATCAAAAGTAATATGATAGCGGGGTGTTTCCAAAAGCTTAAGATCTTTATTTTTCAAACAAAAGTTTTTGCCACAAACTCTGATTTTCTAACTTATATAATCTTGCAACACCTTTGACATGTTATATATAAATCAAATAGTCATGGGCTTTAAATATCAAAGCCCAAAGGTTTATACCATTAGGTTGCCAAGATATAGGAATTAGAAAATTTGAGTTTGTGTATGGCAATAACTAAGTTTCTTTGTTTGCGATCAAACTTAGACATTTGCAATCAAAGTTTACAGTTTAATGTATCATGTCATACATACTAAGTACAATATATACACAGTATTGGTATTTGTTGAAATGTAGTGTACATTGTACAATATGTGTAAGTGTGTGTGACTAAGTTTCCAATGGGAACCTGTATTAGAATATGCCTGAAACTGGTTCTAAGCAGTATTCTTAACCTGCCTGGGAAACGACCAGAATAGTCAAACAGGCAGTTGCCTATTTTGGGCCCTGGAACTTTTAAATTATACTCAAACTTTTTTTAGACCCTCCCTTGTCTCTTATATGAAATTTGCGTCACAAAAGTTAAAATATTAATAAGTTCTGGAAATTTTTCATGAGGTTTTCCCGGGCCCGGGACTTGAGATAATAGAAGAATATAGGAAGCCTTGGTTCAATCTGGAGATCTAAACGGCTTTGTGCCAGTAATACAGCATACCTGGATATAGGTAGAGAAATAGTATTCCATAGCGCGGGAAATGCATCTTGTGCGCTTCTTGACCTTTGTTTTTATAGACAGCATTAACTTACAAAAGTATAATTTTGACAATTATGACGGAAGTATTTGGTATATGCAGCAATAAAATGCGAGGAAACTTTAAAACCTGCGTTTTATAACTTTTTTGTCGACAGCTGAAATAAAGAAATCATGGAATCAGAATATCTTCCTTAAAGGGAGTGTATAATTGTAAAAATCAAGTGACCCTCCATGCAAAGATGACAATACCCAATTTAGCTTTGTCTGATCAAGTATGAATTAGATAATAATGTTTATAATTTTTTTTAAAAACTGACTATATATTAATTGTGGCTTCTCTACAAAAGAGACTTGCGCATTTCTACTACAGGAAACCATTTAGAAATTGTCACAACTAAACACTTTCAAACCTAGAAAAATGACAAAATCTTCCACATTATTGATCAGAAAAAGGTTTCATTGGTACCGTATGTAATGACATATAGCCATCTTTGCATTGAGTGTCACTGAAAATTACGCTTACAGTACTTTTAAAATCTAAATTTTTACCCCCGTTTTCTCCTTGGAAACTCAATGTATTGTCGCTTATTTTGATTACACTTTGTTTTGGGGACATTAGGTCCGATCATTCAGCAAAAGCAAGATAAGAATGAATTGCACCATTTTTCATTTAAACTTAAGGGGTTCAATAAGGTTATGAAGGTTTTAAAAACTTATAGAATGAAATACAATACTCTTTGTAAAAAATTCTATGCATTCTACGTCAAAGCCCTTTGTGATTTAAAGCTTTTGCGTCGTGAATGTTATCATTCATGCATTAATACTAAATATAATGTTTATTTGGTAAAATTAATACACTCTGTTAGAATTAAAGTTCTAAATTATATTAAAAGGTTAAAATTTATTTCTATTTTATGTCTGGATTGAATGTTTTCTAAAAGGAAATTAATTCACTGTGAAAAGGTTTTAATTTTTAAAAAGTACGCAATCTTACAACGATACGTATTCGGGAATTTTCACCGAATTTATATACTCGGCCTCTGGGCAATTAATCGTTACTGTATGTATACGCGGCAATGTTTACGGAGATTCCCAGTTTTGCTGGTTTTAGAACACTACTTACTTTGAACCTACAGATAATGTATCTGTATCTGTATCTGTATCTGTATCTGTATCTGTATCTGTATCTGTATATTTTATTTCAGACTTATTTCTAAACACCTGGAGAAAAGATGTAAACGTAATCTCTCATTTTCCAGTTCCACTAGTTCCAGTCCCGTGCATACATAGTGTCTCTTAGATCTCCCGAAATAAATGCACCCTGTATCCTGGTATATGTAAACATTATACCTGACTGTAAATACTCAGGCAGTTGCTTTGAAGGCCTTGCACGGGCCCCACGCCCAGCTTAGCTCATCCTATCCTCATACACTACATAGTACAAGTACCCAGTTAATACCCAGAGTATTAGAGTTTGGAGTGTTTCACAGTGAATTCGTGAATTATGGAGTTTGTGATAAAATGAAGAGGTGAATAGTAAAGTATATATATATATATGTAGTATATCCAGGGTTAGATTAACACAGAACGGATTAATCAACCAGGACAAGGGTTGGAACGGAAAAGGGAGAAACCAAACCGGAAGTTTATAATTGTTTCCTAAACCTGCTGTCTCCTAGTACAGGAGTGTACACAGTTTACGTCCTGACATAGAGTAAGGTTTAAGTTTCCTTCTCCTCACATCTTCTCCAGGGCAGGGTTTAATTTCACTCCTGGAGAACACACTCCGGAGATATTTGAAACCTGAGGAAACAATGAACCTTAGACCTGGAACAGTAAATCCAAACTTGGATTGATAATCAGCTGATCCCTCCACACGGATCCACAATGTCTGATCCGTATAGAGGGTATACTGGATACAGCTCCGGGGGGTATGGAGGATACGGAGCCCCATATAACAATACACCCAGGTTAGAACAATAAAGTTTAGAAACCACAAACCGGAAACTGGAGTATAGAAATTAAAATGCAAAAATACAAGAATAACCGGAATTATCTGTTTTATTGATTGTTAAAATTGCTTCATGAAAATTTAAGATTATTTCTGTTCTATCTGTTTATTTATCTGGGGATATATAATCTTTTATCTGTTTAGCTGGTGATATATAATCTTCTATCGGTTTATTTAGCTGCGGATATATAATCTTCTATCTGTTTAGCTGAAGATATATATAATCTTCTATCTGTTTAGCTGGGGATATAATATCTTCTATCTGATTAGCTGGGGATATATAATCTTCTATCTGTTTAGCTGGGGATATATAATTTGCTATCTGTTTAGCTGGGGATATATAATCTTCTATATGTTTTGCTGGGGATATTTAATCTTCTATCTGTTTAGCTGAAGTTATATATAATCTTCTATCTGTTTAGCTGAAGATATATATAATCTTCTATCTGTTTAGCTGGGGATATATAATCTTCTATCTGTTTAGCTGGGGATATCTAATTTTCTATCTGTTTAGCTGGAGATATATAATCTTCTATCTGTTTAGCTGGGGATATATAATTTTCTATCTGTTTAGCTGGGGATATATAATTTTCTATCTGTTTAGCTGGGGATTTATAATTTTCTATCTGTTTAGCTGGAGATATATATACTTCTATCTGTTTAGCTGGGGATATATATATAATCTTCTATCTGTTTAGCTGAAGATATATAAAATCTTCTATCTGTTTAGCTGGGGAAATATAATCTTCTATCTGCTTAGCTGAAGATATATATAATCTTCTATCTGTTTAGCTGAAGATATATATAATCTTCTATCTGTTTAGCTGAAGATATATATAATCTTCTAACTGTTTAGCTGGGGATATATAATCTTCTATCTGGTGGTTCTCCTGGTTGGATTGGTCGGGAATGGAATCTTCTGTCTCATCATCAAGAAGAATGTTCAGCTAAGAAAGTAATAATGTCCATCTTTTCATTTCTCTTTCAACTTTCTCAGAAAACCACGCCAAAAGAACTGAGCATTTGCCTCAAGCTCTAATTTTCTAATCACTTATTATTTGCAACCTGATGGTGTGAACCTTTGATATTTCAAATTATTATTATTTGAAATATCTAACTTGTACTATCTATTCGTGGCAGAAATATCAAAGGTCTACGAAATCAGGCTGAAAAACACTTAAGAAATTGAATATTTCAAAAATATTCAAAAATAGGATTAATCATTTTGACTGTAAAAATGGCAGATAATTTCCCTGATTTTCTCACTTTAATTTGTAAAATTTTTGCAGTACTCAATTTCATATTTCAGCTATTTTCTTTCATGAAAAGTTTTTTAATCAAAGAATTCCAAATATCTAAGTTTTAATTTCATTCCATTAGTCAAATATAGTATCAGGAATGGAAAAAAATAAAATAAAAAATTTTACGTTTTTTTTACAAATGTTTGGTCGATTTCCTTTTCCCTCTCCTGAATTTGAGTATAAGCCTGCCAAGTATATTGCCAATAGAAGATTTAATCAACATGACAGTAGAATAGAATACGGAGAGCCTCGTTTAACATAAAATTTAGTTTTAAAACTTGAGATTTTGTACACTTTGCTATTTTTAAAACTTTCTTGTTATATATTTTACACGTAAAGTTTTTTTCTATTTGAATTTTTTTTCTGAATTGACATACTCTAATCCAAATTTTTTCAAAATGAAATATTTTCTAAACAAGTATTTTCCAAATAAAATGTTTTATTTTTATGTATTAAAGAAATTTTTTCTAAATAAGTATTTTCTAAATAAGTATTTTCTAAATAAGTGTCTTCTAAATAAGTATTTTCTAAATACGCCATCCATAAATTTTTGAAGACGAGAAACTTTCTATTAAGAAGTTTTTTAATAATTAACTAAAAAAAATTTCAAGGTCAAAATATACCGTTATAAGACTATATCAGATATAAATTGGTTGGAGGTTTTTCAGATTTGTAAAATTGATTTTAAATATATTCATCTATCCTCCTGACTCTAAGTATATTTAGATCTATCCATCTATTCCTTCTAACCCTGAGTATATTTAGATCTATCCATCTATTCCTCCTAACCCTTAGTATATTTAGATCTATCCATCTATTCCTCCTAACCCTGAGTATATTTAGATCTATCCATCCTAACCCTGAGTATATTTAGATCTATCCATCTATTCCTCCTAACCCTGAGTATATTTAGATCTAGAAATCTATTCCTCCTGACCCTGAGTATATTTAGATCTATCCATCTATTCCTCCTAAACCTGAGTATATTTACATCAATCCATCTATTCCTCCTAAACCTGAGTATATTTAGATCTATCCATCTATTTCTCCTAACCCTGAGTATATTAAAATCTATTCATCTATTCCTCCTAACCCTTAGTATATTTAGATCTATCCATCTATTTCTCCTAACCCTGAGTATATTTAGATCTAGAAATCTATTCCTCCTAACTCTGAGTATATTTAGATCTATTCATCTATTCCTCCTAACCCTTAGTATATTTAGATCTATCCATCTATTCCTCCTAACCCTGAGTATATTTAGATCCATCCATCTATTCCTCCTAACCCTGAGTATATTTAGATCTATTCATCTATTCCTCCTAACCCTTAGTATATTTAGATCTATCCATCTATTCCTCCTAACCCTTAGTATATTTAGATCTATCCATCTATTCCTTCTAACCCTGAGTATAGCGGATATGTTGGTTTGTATTCTCGTTCTTCCCTTCATCATTGATGCTCAGGTTAGATAAAATTTCAATTTTCAAAATAAAACTTGATTATTTTAATATCATCAAAATTTAAAAAAACGAAGGTTGGGGGGATAGAATTTGCGTACGTTTTACTGTAACGTATCAGGACTGATCAGGAATTGATTTAAGGTGCAGGGTTTCCCACAAAGGATGAGACTGTAAATACGACCTGAAATTCTAAGAATTCAATCTTCTGCAATAGCTTTTTTTAATGATTGGCAAAGAATGAAGCAAGTTTTATAGTAGTAGGGAACCATAAATTTAGAGAAACAAACAGTACAAAATCTGTAAAATCGTCTCTGAAGTCTCATCCTTAATGGTTAATCCTGCAATTAGACAACAGTTGGTAAACAAACCCAGCCTTCCTGCCCCTGCCTAAGAAATATATAGACCATGAACCGCCATATTTGATGCGTCAAATCTGTGTACTGCAGTGGGAGGAGATCAAAACAAAGAATTCAGGGGCAACGCATCATTTCTGAGGGAAAAGGGCCCAAGGGGTAGAATAAAACTATATAGCCATTGTATTTTCCATATTGACCAGAAAGCCCAAAACCACAAGTATTCGCTCTAATTTGTTATATTAACTTGTCTTTTGTTGGACTGTCCTTTCCCTTCAACGTCTGTGGGGGCACTGGGTTTGTTTACATTTCTCCCACAGTGTACAGTACACAATTTGCGTATATCTGAGTTGGGCGTTCCTGTATATAGTGCCTTGCTCCTGCCCAGTAAAGTTTCAACCTATTTTACAATCATTGCTATTTTTAGATAAAACTGATTCAAATATGCAAATAAACTCTACCTCCCCCCCCCCCTTCCTTTCATTTATGACAATTGAAAATTAGTATAATTTTTAATATTTTTTTGAAAAGAGTGAAATATTTTACTATGGATTGTAAATGATAAAATCTTAAAATGTGTACAGTCATAAACATAAAACTGTGGAATAAAAAGACGACATTATAGCATTTCTGAAATGTATATGATGCTGTTTAAAGCAAATAGCTTTAATTGAAAGTTATTAAATTACTTATTGAGTAAAATGGGTCTGTTTACCTAGCACAATTGCTGTGTCTCATGTTTAATGCGCTATTAAAGTCCTAACTTGAGTTTACAAGTCGACTTCCTATTCCAGAGTTTTCTGGTTCTCACTGTATATACAAAACTGGCGAAAGTATTTCCATTTTAAAAAAGAAAGTTGTTTATCATTAAAGCTGGAATGTGAATCTCCTTGTAGAACAAAAAGAACTTAATGAACTTAAAGAATTAAGTCTTCTTTCTTACATAAATATATATAAATTGTATTGTGTGATAAAAACAATAGATTTAGGGTAGAAGACATTGTTAATATTCATGTATTAAGATTAATTCGAAACAAGTAAAAAGCATCATTAATCATTATGTTGCATAAATGTTTTATATTCTTTTCTCCATTTTTTACTATTTTCGACAGAGAAATTATAATTTGTGTCGCAGATATGAAGTATTTATTTTGATGTTTTATTTCAGGCAAAAAGGTCTGGGCGGCAATTGTGGCAAGGGTTGCCCGAAATATTGTGCAAAATGTACATTTCCATGGATTACGGATTGAAAGGTGTACAAGTGTACACTCTGCTCGTTGCCGCGTGTTTTCTCTACTTTTGGTACAGGTAAATATACGAACTGTATGAATAGGGTGGCCCGTTAAAATTTAAAGCAACTGTTATTATAGCTAGGTTTTTAAGAAGTAATTGGAAATATTCTAATCGATTTGTTCGTGAGAACTTTCAACCTTTGGATCACTGTGAACATTTGGCTACTGAGAATCGTTTCGTCGAAACAATAACAACGTTAAGTAAACAAAGATCGGATTTTAAAGTCCAGCATATGAACTCACTGTTTACTAATTCTTGTTTATCTTGCTATAAAATAAAAAAAGACATTCGTATATATGTTCCATACAGCCGGGAAAACGGCTAGACCGAATGGGCTGACATTTTTTGTGGGAACCCAGGGGTATCCAGGGGGGTAACATAGGCTGAAAAATTGAAAAAAAACATTCTTCAAAAATCCACGGACATGAAATGTCTAGACCAGGAACCACTTTATCTGAATCTGATGCGTCAAATCTGCAGTGTACTGCACTGGGAGGAGATCAAAGCAAAGTTATTGAGAGGCAACTCATCATTTTGTTGGGGAGGGAAGGGGAAGAATATATTGATATTGTAGATATGAAAATCATGATTTATGAAACGCACTCTGTTCCTTAAAATCTTGTGAATAAATGATTTAAAGGCACGAGATGGAAATGTTATTCACCAAGATTGTATTCATAATGTGAGACGATATTTTGAAAAACTGTTTGAATATTAAAGCAAAAGAAAAATTACATATGGAAAGAAAGGCGTTTTTTAATTAAGTGACTGATAATTTTAAGATCTATTTAGATTGACTAAATCGACAGAAATGGATTCAAATTAAATTAGTTCAAGAACTTTTATAAAAAAAACCATCCTCATTATATGATTAAATTCAATACTTAACGAGACTGTCTACTTAAATATATCCCTTAATGTATAAAAAAGACATGTTTGATTCACAACAGTACATCTAATCACTTTTTTTGGGGAACATGCACTTTCAAACCTGAATTATACCGTTCAAAAGTATAGATCAAACCTTATAACATAAAATAAGAGAAAAGGCGAAAAATTTACATTTTAATTTATTATCTTAGACGTTTCATATATTTATTTCCAAAGAAGCATATTAACATGCTTTAGAATTTTTTAACATATTTAGTCCTAAAACTTCACAATAAGTTTCCCAACAACCGGAGACCACCTTTTATAGTAATGCAGGGAGGAAGGATTTAAACTTTGGGAAGAATGGTTTAAATACTAGAAGGAAGGATTTCAACTTTGGAAGGAAGGGTTTAAACTAGGAGGAAGGATTTCAACTTTGGAAGGAAGGGTTTAAATACTAGGAGGAAGGATTTCAACTTTGGAAGGAAGGGTTTAAATACTAGAAGGAAGGATTTAAACGGTGGGAGGAAGGGTTTAAAGGTTTGGGGGAAGGATTTAAATGGTGGGAGGAAGGATTAAATTCTTTGGAGAAAGGATTTAAACTTTGGGAGGAAGGATTCAAACGGTGGGAGGAGGATTTAAATGTATGGAGGAAGGATAAAAAATCCTGAAATAAAGGGTTCAAACGTTGGGAGAAAGTATTTAAACATTTGGAGGAAGGATTTAAATCTTTTTACCTAGCTGATCAAGTCACAAATATCTCACTTGGCATAACTAAATTTTCCATATTGACCTGAAAGCCAAAAATTATATCAAAGTTATCAATTTGTATTCGCACAAACTTGATATATTAACTAGTGTTTTGTTGGTTTTGTTTACATTTCTCCCACAGTCTACAGTACACAATATGCGTATATCTGAGTTGGGCGTCACGTTCCCAAGGAACTATATAAAGGAACGCCCAAATCAGATATACGCAAATTATGTATTGCACTCTAGCTGTGTGAGGAATGTAAACAAACCCAGTGCCCCCACAGAAGTTGAAGGGAAAGGACTAAAGGTCTGATGTGATTACAGCAGTGGCGTAAATAAGGGGGTTTATTGGGGTTATTTACCCCCCCCCCCAGATTCCCGGGGGTAATTAACCCCCTTTAGAAATTAAAAATTTGATTTTAAAATTGAATATCTTTTAAATTTGCACGAACATATTTTAAATGTGCAGATACTTCAGATATTTCAGATTTTGAGTCAACATATTTTAAATGATTCTAAATTCTAAATAACAGTCAATGGCCAATGAAGAATAAATTTTTACTTCTAAATAATGTCATTTCTATATTAGATTTATTTAAGATCTTAACATACTACATTAACGACAAGAAAATTTTAGAAATTAGAAATTAGAAATTAGAATATAAACAAAGGCAATATTTTTTCAAAGTTTTGCAAAGTAGCTTTTTTAAAGATTTAAAAAAGCAACATCTTTTTCCTCTTTGAGTAAAACTATAATTTTTTATGTTACTTAAAATAAATTCAGTTTTTTACAGATCTTTGTAGTTAATGTAAAATGAATGACTATAATGAAGTTTATAAAACAAGGTGAAAGCTGAAAGGTATGAAATGAAGCCTTTATTTGTTGGAGTTTGTAAATTCCAGAAATGAGTGGAAAATGCAAATCAACCCCAATTAGACAAATTCCCGTCTACGTCCCTGTTTCCAAGCTATATATAGCTTTTGATAACTACGTAAATCTATAGTCGTAGTCCTTCACTACACATGATTGAGAACTCTAAAAAGTTTGCAAATAATAAATTATTTTTGTTGGAAGAAATCTTTCCTCCATTTTTCATAATTTATCATTTCATACAATACACCCCAGTCCTTAGTGTTGGAATATATTTATGTTTTGTTTGAGGTTTTACTTTTATTTTGTTCGTAGCATAATGTATTATACTTTACCGTTCTCAACTGTCAAATTCTGTACTGTTTTATAACGTGATGTACGGTTCTTTACAATATATATACGTATACTATAATACAGTAATGTACTGCACATTAGTTTTCATTAGTATTTACAGTGGTAATCAGAAAACATAGTAATTATTGTCGTCTTCCTTATTTCTTTTGATATAAAATGTCGCTTTAAGGAAAGTATTTTCAAACGTATTTCAGTTATAAAAATTTACAAATTATACAATTGTTAGCTAGAGTAAGTTTCGTACTGTACTGTACTATTTTGCACTGTACTGTACTGTCCGGTATGTACTGTGAGGTATACTATTTATTTGAGTTTAATTTACAATGTACAGAAAACAAATATATTTGTTTAATTTTGAAATCAAATTACAAGAAACAAAATTTTCCACAATTACAAGCGATTCTTTAATACATAATAAGGAAAAGTCTGTCATCAGGTTTAAAGGATACAATTGTAAATCGGAGATAATACTCTTAAAATGGAAATTGAAATTACGCGTACAGTGTGTTTAAGTGTTTAAAGTATAGAGAAGAACAAAGCTACTCCTCTCATCTTACTCACCCTTTATATTTTAGGAAGAATGAGTCCTACGCTACTCAGACCGGAGAAATTGTAACTCGTAAGACCCGGATGCATAAATGGGGGATCCCACTAGCATGTGTAGTAGGAATCGGAGTATCCCTTCCTGCTGGAACAGTCGCAACTGTCAACTACGGCGAGTGCGCGGCCTGGCACGTGGACGGGGCCCAGATGTCTGGGACCAATTTCAACATGAACCTTAGCTTTCTTATCGCTAACTTCCTTGTCCCAGCCTGTCTTTTTGTCTTTCCCTTCCTCGCTCTATTTATGCAGGTACTGACAGATCGTAGATTAAGTGTACTGCAGTTTCTGGGAGAAATGTAAATAAACTGGCAGTGCTGCTCAGGCTGATTTTTGTTTATATTCCTCCAAGAAACTGTAGTACTGCAGTACACCTTTTCTGAAAAACAAAGATTTTGGGGTTCCTGGTATTCATAGATTTCTTGAATTATCACCAATCAAGCTCTTTCGGTGCGTTTTTACAATTTTCAGATTTTGTGAAATAAAACAAAATTAAGAAAGTTACAGAGATTCCAAAATGAAGATGGTTGATCTTTCTCTCTATAGAATAGGAAGACGACATTTAATCAGTCATATATCTATTTGTATATTAATTAATTGTATTGCTTGCTTCCATGTTCATGGGACTTTTTAAGGGCATATTTCTTATCTAGAACATTCGTCTTCCTAGTCCTAAGTTTTATGGCTCTTACTGTTTTATGTAAGTTTAAAATGGTTTCTCCCATCCTGCTTCATGTTAAAAAGAAGGGGTTTCCTTTCTATATCTGAACATATTTTATTCATCCAGTTTCTACCCATTCACCCTGGACTAACTATAGGCGAGATGAAGTAGATTTCTTCAATTTTATTTCTATCGTGTTTTAATGTATTTAATTTAACAATCTTTAAACTTTCGAAGATGTCTTTTTATACTTTTTCAATTAAAAAGGCATTGGTTGACTTATTTAAGAGAAAAGTTTTTCAGAGAAAAATTTTAATCGAAAGTCACAGATTGCAGCCAGTGCTTAGGATCCGGATCCGGATCCGTTGGATTCGCAAGATTTCTCTGAAACCCCAAATCTGAACTATTGAAAAAAAAGAGAAATTATTAAGATTTCCTGATTTCTTGAATGGTTCATCAAGCTTTAGCATAAAAATAAGCGAAAAAATAAGACAACAAGTTTAAAAATTCTGCTTTGTTAAAAAAATCAGTAAATTTTATGAAAATAACCTGGATCCGGATCCAATTTTTTCTAGTGCGGATCCAGGATCCGGATCCGCATCAAAATTAAATGGATCCTAAGCACTGATTGCTGGTACAAGGACCTAACTGTAGAATGTCCCCAAAGTGCAAGACAGGATTGTTGTAACCGTTCATAAACTTATTATTATGATGCCCAGACCAACCAAAGGAACTGAAACTCTAATTTTCTAATCCTAGTTTGAGGCGAGTAATCAGTTCCTTTCCTCTTTATCTTAAACGCCTTATTTGTTTATATTTTGTCCAGAGTTTTTTTGTCAATAAGTTAATAAAAACTAGTTTCCTGTGAGTACTGAGTCTGGGTATAGTTCTAATATAAGATTTCTGTTTAGATTTGTGGAGCCAGAACCCCAAGATTAGATCCTCCGCACAATAGAATAGCTCTGACTATTGTACTGTATATTATCGTATTTGTGGGGTGCAGAGCTCCTCATGATATTTACGAGCTAATGCAGATGCTGGGCAAGCAGTACGGAAACAAGGGAAACCAGTTCCGCGGGATGAATCAAAACATGAGGATCCCTGAGACCCAACTCATCCTGGAGTGTTTAGTTTATCTCCCCTGTCTTCTCCATCCTATCATTCTGATCATCTGTAACCCGGACTACAGGCAGGGACTGAAGAATGTCTGCTCTAAGTTGTACTGTAACCAGTCCTCAGCCCCTACTGGAGAAGAAACTAGACGAGGATCTCAGATTAGATTCCCACAACAAAACAAACCAATCATTAAGCAACAACAACAACTGTATCAACCACAACAGTATCAACAGCAACCTCCGCGAATGGGAAACCGTAGGCGTGGCGAACACTCCCTTATTGCAGAAGTCCAGCCGATGATTATGCCTGCACAGAAACCGATTCTGAACCAGATGGGGAAAAAGATTCAGTATCCAGGTCACTACGGAGCTCAGCCCGGTTCAATGTATATTCCGATGGAAACCCTGTCTCCAAGAGATCCAATGCTTCACAACAATAGTTACGAAGGAGAGCATTCTCCCCAACCCTGTCTCCCTGCAGAGTTTGAGTACGGTAGGTTCAAGTATGTTGATACTGCCCGGGTTGAACCAAAGATAGCGTATACTCCGACCAATACTCCTCCGAAGACTCCTCAGATGCCTCATTTTGACAAGCTGCCGTTCAAGCAACCCAACTATATTGATGGAACCTGGATATTACCAGAGGATATGGAATCTTACAGAGGTCAGTACAATTCATTTCAAAATGAAAATATATTTTTTTTACAAAATGATCAATAAGTTTTTTCTTCAGGTTTAATACCTCCGTCACAGATCCCTATTGGAGGATTTCCATATACAGATCCTTCACTCCCTTCCTCTCCTCTTCCAGTAGAGATTGATGATCCAGAGGATCCTATGGAGATCGAAAGCCTGGATCACTCCCCCGGTAGTACCCTGAGAACTGCCCGACGCGGAGTTCCTGAAGTGACCAGTCTAGCAGATAGTCCCGGAGCTAGACGTCGAGCTAGCAGCAGATTAGAGGATGCTCCGGCTAGAAGTACTCCGACCAGACTAGAGCAAGCTCCCCCTCGTCTTAACGGACACAGAGAGGACAGAGGACAAGTTGAGGATCCGTACGAACGTCCGTCCTCCAGAAACACAGTAGAGATAACCTTGTCCGGATCAGGAAGGAGTAGATCAAGACAGGATCTGTGTCCAGACCGTCCTAGATCAAAGTTTGAGCACGCTGTATGACGGGAAGATTGCTCAGAGGAAACCAAGGAAGGATTGATCCCCATTACCTCACTTAAACGCTCCGGTAGTACAGATAAACTGACAGAACGAATAATGATTCTCGGGGATGAGCACACGGAGTATATGAATAAACTAATGAAAACTCGAAGTTTGCACTCTGATAAGTACAAAAGTAGAACTCGACCATCAACCCCTGTCCGTATGGAGGACACAGACCGGAGATGGTTGTCCTCGGACTCCTTATCCGACTTTAAGCTAGAGGATAAATGGTGGCTTTCAGGGTCATGCAAATCCTTCCTTGAAACAAAACAAACTTCCTTTGGGCATAAAAAACTTTTTCTCATTGAGAAAAAACCTTCTCCATGTTCGAACCCTGAACTCTCGTCTCTAAAGCAAGTGAAGAATGGACTAAAGAAACTGGAGTTAAGTGAACCTCTTCTTTTTTAAAACCTCTAAAATATTGACAATGGTTAAACATCCTTTCTGAAAAAAATATGTGCACTTTTTGAAATGTTTTGTGGAAGATTGAAAATATTTATTATTAAATCGGGACCCGCGACGCATTTCATGTCAATTTGACATGTCGTCTGATCTCTCCGTTTGGAAACAAAGACGACATTATCGTCGACTCTCCAAACGCTAAATAAAAATATTTTTCACATATTTTTGGTTTTCAGGTTTGCCGCCATATCTTCACAAATATTAGTCTTAAGAATGTTTTTATTTAATTATATATATTTCCTCAATGAAAGAGGTTGTTTTAAAGAAAAACAAAATATTTTGTCATGGCGCAGCAGTTTTCTGAAGAGAAAAAAATAGTGCATGTTTAATTTTTAAATCACTGTAGTAAAACGTTTTGTATTCTTTAATTAGAAAAAAATAAAATTTGTCATTCGTAAACATTTTTCTATCACAAGAGAAAATAATAAAACAAAAGAGAGATTAGTAATTTTAGAGTGGTCTTGAAATTATAGGAATTAAAAATCTAAGTCTCTTAGGCTCTGAAGCTGATGTATTTATAAACTGTGCCCGGAACATTTATACCTTACAAAATTCTTACTTAAAGAAATCTTTGTCACAAACTTTGATTTTCTAAGCTCTATATCTCTGCAGACACACTAGAGAATTATGTTAGATCAAATAATATAAGATTGAAATATCAAAAGTTTAAACCATCAGGTTGCACAGACAAAGGGATTTTTGGCAAAGATTCCATTCATCAATGAAAAAAAGCACGAAGACGACAGTTTTGGGGTTAATATTCTGTTTTTATGTTCTAGTTTACTGCTCGTTTTCAGGGAATTCAAGGTTTTTTTGGTTTCTTTATAGGCTCCAAAAGATAAAGATTTTCATCTTATTTTTAAATTATTAGAAATACCAACTCAGTCAATCATTGTTTTGGAATGGAATTGATTTTTTGCCATAAACTCAAATTTTCTAATCCCTATATCTGTGTAACCTGATGATGTATAGATAAAATGGTTAGATAATCAGAGTTTGTGACAAGACCTCAGTTCCTTTTTAATATTTCATATTTTTGTATACATTTATTTCATCTAAAAAATAAGAAAATGTTAATCTGTTCTTTGACCTTAATAAAGTTTATATAATAGAAATGTCAGATCAGTGAAATGTTTGTTCATAAAATTTGGTCTTGGGAAAATTTAATTTGAGGAGGAAACTTTAAAATGGATAAAAATGGATTAAACTCATTTAAAAAGCTGAGTTTTTACCGCATACTCAACTTTTCTAATGCCTATATTTTTGCAACCTGATCGTGTAAATCTGTGATATTTCAAACTTAGATTATTTAATGTTACAAATTTATAGTTTGCAAAGACATAGGGGATTAAAAAGTTTGAATTTGTGGCAAAAACTCAGTTCCTTTTACTTCACAAATTACAAGATACATTTAAGGAAGGTATTTAAGGTATAGTTTAATTCCAACGCTTTCCAAACTTCTGCAGTACCTTGAATATATTATAGTTTTTATGAAACTATAATATTACTCTACCCTTTCTCCGTATAATGTACTTTATCATTATTACTCACTTCATCGTGAATTTCATAATAAACGTGCTAAACTGTAAAATTAGCTGTACATTATAGCACGTGTGCTATAAAGTTTTGATTAGTTCCCGGATTTTCTCCAAAAAAATTAGTAAATTTTCAAAATATCTTTTTCAATTGAAATGAAAATAAAATTGAAATAACTTTATATTTTGACTTCTGCTTTGTTTCAAAGCTTATTTAATCTAGAAACAGAAATTGAAATAAGATATGTACACGTGTACATATCTTATTACAAACGTTTCATAAAATTACCTATAACTCTATTATTTTGACACGACTTACTGTAAAGTTTTTGGATTTTATTCATAACACCATGAACCAAAATAACAGTGTTATAAATAGTAATTAATAATTCTAAAATTTCTTTAAAATTTTCTCCGAATTTTCTTTAAAATTATAAAAAAGAAAAACTTTAAATTTGCATCAAAATTGGGTTAAGTTTATTGCACTACATGATACCTAAATTTAAACAAGATATATTTTTCAACAAAATAAAAATATTTAGATAACGGATTTGATAATCATTAATTGTTTCTCATAGACGACAGATAGGGAATGGTTTTCAATCCCCGACTAAAATCAGAAAAATCTTTCAAAAAATAATTATTAGGACCAGAAGAAAGCCACAAAGTTTAGTGTATTGACCAACAAGACACTTTTAAAGAGAAACCTTGATAAAATATTACTAATTTTTAAATAAAAAACAAGATCTTCTTTATAAAAAATTCTCGGATGTAGGGCACCGTTTATTATTTCTCAACTGTTTTAGAAGCAAGAAATGCGCAAGTGACTTTTGCAAAAATGAAAAATTGGTTTTAAGAATAAAAACATGGATTTCTAATTCGTACTTGACCAGACGAAGCAATTATGGATACCGTTGTGAATCGGACATGTTACTCTATCAATGGAGGGGCATTTGAAATTACGTTCACTGTCCCTTTAAGTGTTACTTAAAGGGTATTGTAAATCAAGGTAATAAGACAAGGAAAGGTAATGGCTGTTGCGTAGTCTCAGCGTTCATATTGAAACCAGTTCTTTCTGGGCGGTGTTTGTTAACAAGAATTTTGAAAATTTTGATAATTCACATAATAGTTTCCTATGACAAGAATATTTCATTGATTTTTTATTTAAAAGAAGGATCCCATGTCAGACTATGACATCCGTTTTGTGTTTACTTTACATCCCAGAGACAGTACACTGCAGTGCTGAAAATGTGAAATAACTCTCTTTACATTATAATTCTTTGCTGTCAATAAACATTTTAAATATTTCGCACTTTTAAAAAACCGCTTGTTCTTGCTGCTTATTTTTAAATTTTGCATTTTTTCAAATTTCAGAAATAAAGGTTTCACCTTGAAAGATCTGGGAAAGGGGAGCTTACCTCTTAATCTCTATTTAAATCAAGAGATTTTGATTTATCAGTTTATTTACAGAAAATTTTATGATTATAACAGAAGGTTTACAGCACTACAGCAGCCATCAGCATAAATAGAATAGATAAATAATGATAAACAATTTAATAAATTAAGGATTTATAACAGGAAGTTCTAGATTCTTCTTCTAATTTATCTAAATTTCTCCTGCGCCCTTGCGATTGCGCCCAAAATCCTAGAATTAAAAATTTTCGTGGATTAATTCTTAATGCACGTTGTACAGGGTGAGAAAAAAATCGCTATTTTTACAAAATAATATTCAGAATTTTCTTTTAGTCCAGGTACGTATTGGTGTTGGACTTATCAGGATATACTTAACAATACAAAACCCAATTTTTAAACCTAACTTTTTAAATGCCACCCTGTAGCTGAGTGTACATTTACTTCATTATTCTATTTTTCCTTAAAATATAGAGAAGTGGATGCTGACGCTGATACATCACTAGAGGGTCAATTTTATACACGGAAATATAAATTGATCTCTATTTTGTATACTCTATGTGGAGGACTTAATATTAAAAATTAAAACAAATTCGGGCCAAAAATGATGAAAAACACGACAAGATATTTCTAAATATGTATTTCATTATCATGCTTCTTGGGGCACCCTGCAGTCAAGAGTTTTCTCTTATTTCCTTGAAGGGGTTTCTAGCAGCTGTCAGCATAACTGACAGCTAGCTCACACTTCAATATATTCATTTTCCACAATAAAAAGAATAAAAAGGATTTCACATTAATTTAAACAGAATGCAGGACACTAGAATTCTAAGATTAGAAAGAATAAATGGGGCCCAAACCCACCCGGGAGACTTGGGTAATGGTATGTAACGAAACTGATTACTCCTCTCAAGAGCTAGTTTTCCAATTAGTTTATCATGATTTGATACATCAAATCAATTTTTTTAGCTCAAATTCAAAAATATCAAAGGTTTAGAACACCAGGTCGAAAGATATAGGGATTCGAAAATTGAAGTTACAGGCGAAAGTTATGTTACAAATAAAGGACAAGACTGAAATATCTCCGTCAATTTTTTCATTTTCCTTATACTAATATTGAGATGTTTTCTTCTTGCTTTTACTAATATTGAGATGTTTCCTCTTGCTTATACTAATATTGAGATGTTTTCCTCTTGCTTTTACTAATATTGAGATGTTTCCTTTTGCTTTTACTAATATTGAGATGTTTTCCTCTTGCTTGTACTAATATTGAGATGTTTTCCTCCTGCTTAGACTAATATTGAGATTTTTTCATCTTGCTTATACTAATATTGAAATGTTTTCCTCTTGCTTTTAGTACTATTGAGATGTTTTCCTCTTGTTTTTACTAATATTGAGATGTTTTCCTCTTGCTTATACTAATATTGAGATGTTTTCCTCTTGCTTTTACTAATAATAGATGAATGTCTGTTTATACAATTGATGTATAAATAAACGTTTTAAAAACAGAAGTTTAAACCTTCTAACAAACAAATTTTTAATCAGACATTTTTTACGAACTTAACAAAATTTGCAATTGGTATATTCCAGCAATTTTCAAGTTTATATTCAGTTTTTTATCAGATTTTAAAACTCAAAATTCCATTTTAATAGTTTTTTTCATGAACACAATGTGGGGGCCCAGAGAATATCCTTTCTTATACAAAAGAAGTAAAAAGTTAGTTAAGAAGACACACATTATATTAATTATTTTGTAATAAATATTAATGACACACATTATTAAGTATTTGTCTCTATCCGATATTAGAAAATATTACTTAGGACTTTTACCAAGAAATATTTAAACCATGAAAACCTCGGAATTCTTCTGTGTACTGCAGTGTACTGTTTACATTCCCACCCACACAATTGTAAACTAACTTAGTGCAAACCAACCAAGGAGCATGGAATAGAAAGGAGATAGACACGACGCGGCCCGCCCTACCATATGATTATACATGCTTTAATTTGCAGACAGTACTTCATTTGAATAAGAAATTCAGAATAGGTTCTTGTATACAGTA